CCTCCCCCTCTCCCCCCTCGGCCCGCCCCTGGCCATGCTGATGGTGAGAGGGCATACACCCCGCGCGTCCCCGCGCCATCCCCCCGCGGCCTGGCCACGCAAGCCTCTCGTTTTTTTTACAACCCTTGTGCTCTAAAACGGAGATGGCCTCCGCGCGCGCGCGCTCCTCTCTTTTTTATTGCTTCTCCTTTTTCAATTAGGATTATTGCCTGGAAATCTTATCGAACGCCAATGTCACATTCGGTGGCTCGCCCACCACGCCTATGGACCGCTGCTGTCCTCTGACGACGACCCCGAGGCGTACCAACCGCCACCAACCTCGGGGGGAGTTATTCGGACTGCGACTCTCGCGCGCCCGGGCTCCAGGGTAGGCAACCGACCGCGGGGCGCGGCAGCCTCGGCGGCGGCCACCTGCGCTCGGCCTGGGGCTTCCCTGCGGGGGCGGGGCGGGACCGTCCCGTCACGAGGCTTAAACTGAACGGTTTCGGCTTCTGAAATGGGATAAGAGGGAGACGGAGCGGCCGAGAGGAGAGGAAAGGCGAATGAATAATACGAATGAATGGATGGATGAATGAATGAATGAATGAATGATAGAAAAAAGAAAAAAAGAGAGTTTTGCCCCGGAGCTGCGGCACAAAAGGCGCACAGGTGGAAAGTTGTTCGAGAGGCCTTATGATATTGTGAGCCGTTCTCTCCCGAGCCCATCCACACACCACCACACCAGAATAAAAATAAAACGAAAGGGAAAAAAAACTGATTATCAAAATAAATGGAAGGGAAATGAAATCTGAACAAAACGCCACGTCAGCAACCCTCTTGCTCTCGGACCCGGCGGCAGGTCTGCTGGCATATCGGCGCGGGCAAGGAAGGAAAGAGAGAGGAGAGAGAAGCGGAACGGACCCGCGAGTAAGAGAGAGAGAGAATCTGCTGTTTGGGCACGACGGAAGCAGAGGCTCGGTGGGATGGGAAAAGGGGGGTGCTCGCTTGTTCGCCTCCGTTGTTCGTATGACCTCGCGAGAGCGGTTTTTAGACAAAGGTGTGTATGAATTTGGGAGGGGGTGGGGTCCGGGTTGGCCCTTCCGCCGTTATTCGTCTTTAAAACGCCGTGCCGTGCATGGTCTCGCTCAGGACTGTCAGGACACAGCAGGGGCCGCCTGGGCCCGCCCATGCCATGGCCCGCCGGCCGCCGGGACCGACCAGCTCGCGCGTCCAGACGCGGCGATGTCTGATTCGATCTGCTTAAAATAGTAGTATGCCCGCTCTCGGCCGCCCGCTGCGACCCCTAAAGGATATGCTCCATTCGGGGGGTGAACGTCCCCGAGATTGAACGAAACCCAAGTGTGTCACGTTCGTTCATGTCACAAACCTAATACTGGGAAAGGGTTCCAAGGAAAAGATCATATTTTACTGTTAAGCAATCTCAAGACTCGCCTTTGGATTTGAAACGCCAATAAAATGTCACTTCGTAGAGGTTGAGAAAGTATAAATAATCCGACGTGTTTTAGAAGTATTTGAGAAGAAAAGCAAGAATGTAGAAAAGTGTGGGGTATTGGGATTCCATGGGATTCGGCCTGGTCCGACCGCAGAGCAGTGCAAGCACGGTGGCAAAACTCTTACTGGACGGGCCAAACGTGTTGAGAACGTCGAATGAATCAAAAATAAAAATTTAATTTACGGATGCGAGTTTGGCGGGGCGCAGCAGGCCTTCCCTCGGGGCACACAGCCGTCATTGACACAGGCGGTGGGGCCGCCGGCCGCGGCCGCAACCGGGCCTCCGCAGCTTCCCGTCGTCGGTTGAACGTCCGCGCCGTGAGCAGAGGTCCTGGTGGCGCCCTCCGGCGGCGGCCTGTCGCGTCGATACCCCGCGCGCGGCCCGCGGCGCGCACGAGGAGTAGCGACGGGTGCGTTTCGGAGGAGCTCAGTCCGACTTGTCGTCCAGGTCCTGGCACGGGTAGTACTTGCTGCAGTCGTCGCCCGCCTTGCCTCGCCGCACCGCCTTCTCCACGCTGCTCTTGACGCTCTCGGGGATGAACTCGTTCGAGAGGATCTCGCCCGTCACACTGAAACGAAGGTGGTCGCAGACAGTCAGTGCCTAATCGGGCGCGTCAGGGTCGTGAAGTCAAAAGCAAATAAGGGTAAGGGTCATCCAGAAAGTACGTCCGTCATTCGCCGTCATGCGAAATCGACAAGTTCAGCCTGCAAGCTCTCATAGCGCCTTTTAGGTAGGCAACATCTTGCCTGCAGTGCATGCGTGTACGGCGGGGTAGTCTACCCGGGGTCTCGCAGGCGCCACGGGCTACCGTAATTTGCAAGATACATAGATCGGAGCAAAATCGGACGTACTTTCTGGACGATCCCTCAGGGCAAAGCGTGTTCAGTGTTCGGGTCTTCATTTGCCACCGCCACCCACCAACGCCGACCCGGGCGACTCGACGCCACACTTGCGAGACGCGGCGCACGCAATCCGTCCCGGTTCCGGTGCGATGATGACAACTCACACTCGCATGACGTGCCGCTCCAGGGCGCCGCTGCTGGAGGGGCTGCTGTCCGCCTCATCCTGGTGCAGCTCGCACGACAGCCGCTCCAGGCAGGACGCCGACGAGCCGAGCAGCGCGTTGGCAGAGTCGTTGGACGAGGACGACGATGATGACGAGGCCGGCGGCGACGTCGGCACGATGCCCGTGCACGTCAGGTAAGAGGCGAGCAGCTTCTGCTCCTGGGCGCGGGCCTCGGCGCGCGGGATCTGCTGCCGGGGAGGAGGACAAGCTCGGCGTCAGTACGCGTTCATTGATACACACGGAAGTGTGCTCGTCTTCTTGCACTCAGATTTCGCCCCTCGCCCCCGACCCATACGGGAGAGCTCACGACATGAAACCAAGGACTTCACTTACTTCGTAATCGTCGGAGGAATGCTACATGAAATTTTTTGATATACCAATAGGTAAGCATTGGCACCTAGTAACGCTCCTGCTGTGAAAGCAGTGTAAAGTCGAGGGGAATACCATCACGTGACTGATTCGTCTCGCATTTTTCGTACTTACAGTTTTCCCTGCCCACATAGCGCCTTACGGCGGCCGAGTAGGCAACCCGCCCGCACCCGTGCGTGGCGGTACAGTCTAACCACGGAAGTGGGCGAGGCGCGCGTGCTTAGAGACGCGTTGCTGTCACGCTGCGGAGGACCCAACAACGTCGCTCGTAACGCAACGCGTTCATTCACAGACTGGTTAGCAACAATAAGGCCGGGCTGGCGCCAAACAAGACGTAAGTGGCGCGGGACGCAGCTGCAGCGGCGGCGGATGCGCCGCCCCGACGTGTCGTCCCGTCCCGTCGCAGTCGCTGGTGCCGGACAATGAGGCCCACCTCGTGGCGCCACCTGTGGCCAGGTGTGACAGCTGCGCACGCCATTGTTGTGTCGCGCCGCCGCCGCGCACCGGACCGTCACGTCGCCGTCACACGACAAGGAGGAAACGGGAAGAAGAGAGGAGGGATTTTTCGAACCGACGAAGACGACACGCGCGCCTCGTCTCGCGAGCCGCGTGGGCCGCGAACTCTCGTTTTTAGCGAGCGAGATCGGAAGTCTGCAACGTCCGACAGTCACGTGGACAAAATGGAGCGATCCTCGCACGATGACTGCCGGGGGTACGAGTGTCCTCTTTGCTATGAGAATGAGATAACCCGAATACAGTCCCGAGCGCGCGCACGCACCTGCGACATGAAGTTCTCCAGCAGCTGCAGGTCCCCGACGCGCTGTCTGGCCAGCTGCGCCATCCGCTGCACCTGCTCCTGGTCCTCCTCCTCGGAGGCGGCGGCGGCGGCGCGACGGCGACGCTTGCCCGAGATGACGCCCAGCTGTAGCAGGATGGGGTTGGTGACGAAGGCGGCGGCGGCGCCGAGCAGGGCCACGCCTAGAAACAACAAGGAGAGCATGATCGTGGTGCCCGCCGATAGCCTAATCACAACCCGCAGGTGTGGCACACCCCATCACGCACCTGCCAGTGGGACGAGCAGGCTCTTGACGGCCAGCGCCTTGTGGTAGTGCGGGTCGTGGTGGTGCTCCAGGTGGTGATGGCTGTAGTCGAAGTGTCCGCCTCCGAGGCCGCCGTCAAGGCCGCCGCCGAGGCCACCACCGAGGCCGCCGCCACCGAGGTCGCCACCGAAACCACCCGCGCCGGCGCCGCCCCCGTAGAAGCCCAAGCCGCTGCCGCCGTGGTGGCCGCCGTAGCCCTCAAAGCCGCCGCCGCCGCCGTGCCCGTAGCCCTCTGCAACACAAACGAGTAAGACACCACCGCTAGCCCAGTGGGAGTCGCGGGGGCACCCTGTCCTGAGCTACGCCACTCACCACCGCCGTAGACAGTGCCGTGGATGTGCGAGGCCTGGCCGCTCAGCTGCGCGCCCCTCTTGTTCTGCTCCGACTGCGCGCGGTTCTCCTTGGACGCATCCACCGAGGGCCCGGGGATCACCGCCAAGCCGACACCGATGCGCCGTGACTGCGCGGGAGAGCAGAGCAACACGGTCAGAGGTCCTCATAGTCCTGGCATACCTCCTCCAGGGCCGGGGACGGGATGACTGTACCTGCGAGTCCTTGTCCTGCCGCGCGTCCTGCTTGCCCTGCTGGGGGCCCGATATGATGGACGTGCCCGGATGCGCCTGGGCCAGCATCAGCGCCAGCATCACGGAGAGCGGCGCCATGGCGACCAAACACTACTACACAAAGCACTCGCACTAGTTTGCACTGCACGCGCTCAGTATGAACAGACGGGCCTGACGCGACGCACCGACACTCAGTGGCGGGGGCGGAGGGGCGGCGGCTCTATATACCCCCAGCGGGCCGCTGCCGGCGGGCTGCCCTTCCACAGCTTCCACACGCCCCGACTAGATGCCCTGCCCCACCACGCCCTTAGCCACGCCAACGCGGTCCCCTCGGGTCGGAAGTCCTGCGTCCGGTGGAATCGCGTCCCCCACTGTGCGAGTAGGTATAGGCGACGGCAACACACATGCAGAGCTGCACGGCGCGAGTAGGCAACCTGCCCGCCGTCCCGCACACCTGAATTTGGTACAGTAGCTCCACGGCGCGAACAGCCATTGTAGGTTTGTGGCCCACTCCTTCTGAACTGCGTTTAGAAGGCAAGAGGGTTGATGGGGAAGTCCCTGTTTATAGCTACAAACAGGGACGTCAGATAGGGCTGCTGGCTGAGGCCTTGTTGGCGTAGAGGGTGGTAAAAATAGGTAAAAAATCCCCTCAATAAGCCTTCAGCAGCTCAAGCGACCCTCGTCGGGGAGCAGTTCTGGTAACAATGAACAATGTCGTCTACTAAATGACGTTTCATCACTTGAAGGGCGGAGCTAATTTTTGGTGCCTATGATTTAACATGGCGAGGGGGTGGCCACAACGTGTTCACGGCACACTGAACGAGTTATGCAGTAAAGCGTCTAGGGAGGGGCGAAACGGAATGAGAGATCCCTCCGGTATTTAATCGAGGCTTGAAATCGACACCGCAATGCCAATATTACGTAGCTGGCCCCAGTTTGAATTTACTAATCGTGCCCAGAGATTTCGTCCGTCCCACTCCCCGGTCTGCCACCGTGTTCACGTTCAACCCCCTTGACATTCGGCTTGGCTTTGGATACTACAACAAAGAGTGCGAGTTCCCATCCGGACGGCGACCTTGCGGGCCGCTCCGGAAACCGGTGCTGTCGCCATTGCGTCTGTAGAAAGCCGCGCGGAAAGCCGAAGGGGACGACGAGTGCGAGTCGCTCAGCGCGCACGCACGCACGGCTCACGCACGGCGACGGCGCTAGAGACTGTTTGGCCACTTTTGGTCCTCGCGGCCCATTGCCGTGAAGCGCCACAAAAGCAGGAAAACATTATTTCCAAACAGGCCCTTCCCCTCTGGTCCACGGTGGTGGCGGCGGTGGTGGCGGCGTCGGCAGCGGCTGCATCAGCGCCAGTCGCTTGCCTCACGATGACGACTAGGTAGCTGCCTGCCTCTCAAGAGCGGCCCTGGAGCCCCTGGAGGCTGCGGCTCCTGCACAGCCAAGCGGGCCGCCACAAACGAGCCGCCCGCATACTGCTGCGACGAGTCTTACGCGCGGAGGAGTTGGGGCGCCATATCCGAACCACCACCACTCACCACTCCACTAGTTACTGCATTTTATCAGGCATTTGAAAGAAACAACAATTTGACAGTTGATTAACCTTGTTTTCTTCAGCAGATAAAAATCCAAAATATCTCCCCATTTATCAAATTGAGTTGCAGGTGTTTTAGAACCTAAATGTATCTAAATTTCAACGCAACAATTGTAATCAATACCTCCCCTATAAAAACAAAACACGGATGAATGTTTACTTCTTTAATAATAAAATTGGCTGCATGCAGACCACAACACATTAATGACAAGACGAAACAAAGGAGCTAATAAGCTCTAACATTGCTTGGGACAGAACAAGATTTACACCCAGCAAAACCATGTAACAGACTAGAATTAACATAGCCAACAGACAAACTAATTTTAAGGAAGCAGAATATAATTGCAAGGGAGATGACACATCATGATTATAAACATAAAATGAGCAAAAATACTGCACTTACTTCCAATGTTATTTAATTTAACATGAAAGAAATCAAGAGGGGAAGCTATATATTTCATCAATCAATTAAAACTTACTAAAATTGACCTTGATTGAAAGGAGGTACTCAATAATATCTCCAAGGCTCTAATAACTGACAGTCTTGTGAATCAACCTCGCAATTACCATGGAATGTCAAAAGACATGAGAAAATGGCAGTGAAACCACAGAGTAATTTCCTATGAATCCTCTAGAGTAATACAAATGAGATTACAAAGATTATTCAAAATACCAACAGAGCTATGAGCATAGTGGTGTTTTTTCCCCTCGCTTTTTCTCTAGAGTATAAATTGTCCTCTTTACTTGCTTGTAAGAGTTGCGTTAGTTGACTGTTGTGCACCCAATGTCCTGTCAATAATGTTCACGTCTGCTTTTTCTTCTTCTTTTCACACCAACCCCATTTACGCTCACTGCCCTATACTACAAATGAATATCAATTGTCAGTTAGGTATAACAATCTGTAGACACACAAAGTAGGATTTTAATGACAATGACTTTGTGTGCACAACAAACACATGTCACATGACTGTTTTCAACATACAATTTTTTTATCATTCTACCTTTACTCTGTTACCACCTGTACTCTTCAGTAATGATTATAGGGTGTATATGGTTGGGTTGAGAATGATTTCCCTCTGGCCCACTAATGAATGAGACATACAAGAGGTGGTGAGTATGAAATAAACACAAACAGCCTCTTTGGCCAAGTCGTAATGTACTTATGCAACCACAGCGAGTCAGTTATTTACAAAGGCGCTTTGAATAGCAAAAAGCTAAAACAATTGAAAAAAGCGACTTAAAAACAAAAAACTTAAAAAAGGTATGTGAGACAATCCAGCAAATGAACTTATAAGTAAAAACAATTGAAAGAAAAATCATGTAGTTCAGATTTCAATAATGTAAGTACATGGATGAATCGTGAAATGAAAAATAAAAAAAAAAGAAAAAATAGAACTTTTCACTGGTAGAAAATAAAAATTATTACCCAATATCCTCCCAATGGCCCAGTGAAATAAAGGAGATACAGGAGGATTGGAAGAAAAACTTAGAATCAAACACATACAGCCATCAATATCAATACCAGCAGGAATGTGCATTTCAAATAATTAAAAATGTAATAACATTTTTATAGAATGGCACATATTCTGCATGACACAAAGTGTCTTTGTACATTTCCTAGTGCTTTACTGCAATTGAAAATTAATTCCCTGCCTTGAATTTCTAAGTCATTACATAACATATATGTATCTCACATACAATGAGTTACGGTGAAGAATAAACAATTGATCAGCCTGACAATTTAAGACGCACATATAACTACCAACAGTCAACAGAATAAAAATCTTCACAAAAAAATTTATTTTTTCTAGGATAAAAAAGAGGTCATGGAAAAAATCTGAAGTCACATAAACAGCTATTTATAAACTTACTGAAGACAACACGTATGTCATGTACTTGTAATTGAAAGATGAAAGGAATTTATTCATCATCACTGCTATCACTGTCTGAATTAGCTTTCTTGGGATTAGTTTTCTCAGATTTCTTCTCATCATTTTCTTCATCTGAGTCGTCACTGGATGAATCAGAATCAGAATCAGAACTGCTGCTGTCGCTACTACTACTACTGCTGTCACTTGAGGAATCAGACTTCTTCTCTTCTTTCTGTAACAGATAATTATTTTTAGATCACAGGTTGAATTGAAAATTATTACTAAACAAGTTAGTCTGCAATGGGTTCTGAATATGCTTTCCATAGAACTTGCATTAGAACAGTCACATGAAACTACAGGTCGTCCCAAGCATACTACTTTAACAGAAGATTCAAAATTACTAAGTGCATCTACTCCATGATGATAAAAAAAGGTCAGCCTACACAGGCTCTAAAGAGAAAAGTCAGCCCAAAGTCTAGAATGACCAGAATAAAGAAGATCAAGATAAAACATGCACTAAAACTAAAATTCAGGAACATTATTTGACTTCCTTCTGGATACCACTTGTTTTTGCAATGAACCATAGACATTACATACACACCTTGCACAGGTGACGAGGTGCAATACAAATCTTACTATACTGCTACATGAAGTTGAAGCACACTCACTGTAAACAAAGCAGTGTCAGAAAGCCAAAGAATAAGGCACAGGGTTTTTTTATCCTGGTATAATGTGCCTTTGAGTCAGTAAGTGAAATATAAAGGGTTGAAGTGCGTAATAAGAAGGAAGTTGCAGGTGAAAAAAAAATGATTTCAGTTCATGTTTTAAGGTTTTCTAGAGGTTATGTGGGTAAACTAATGAAGATGTGCTAATAACAAATTGTGTTTGAAAATAAACAAAACCAAGATATACAGTAGAAAGGCATTAGAAAAACAAGAAGGATGTCATGCTTTTCCGAGAGATTCTCACTCATGCTACACAGCTCACATGCTCATACCAACAATTGTGAAAAAGATTTCAGAAAAACAACTACACACTACAACGTGCCAAGGACTAATGCAGGATCTAAGGATATTACTGAAATCACTAACTAAATAAAAAAGAATATCTCACCTCATCGGAGTCACTATCATTATCATTTTCATTTGCATTTGCATTTTGTTTAGCTATATTATTACTTCTTTCTTCATATTGTTCATCATCTGATGAAGCTTCGTTTTCCTCACTAATTTCTTCTTCGTTATCACTATCTTTGTCTTTTTGGGCTTCGGCTTCTAGTTCTTTGTTGCGTTTTTGAAGTTCATTATACTTGGATACTTCATCTTCATCTAATGACTGAAAAAGACATTCACAAATGGTTAATTTATCTGAAAGACAAAAATTAGGAAAAGACAAGAAATTTAACAAGACTTACCCTTAAAAACTTTTTGTAATCCTTTATGTATTTCTCTTTGAGTTCCTTTAGTTTGCGTTGGAATTTAGCTTTATCAGAACTAGGGAGCATTTCCCAAAACCTTGGGGCTTCTGTTGCTGATAATTTAGTGTCAGACACAAATGATTCAACAAATAGATCATATGCATTCCTTTGAGCAAAAGGAGAACAATTTATTAATTGAATGAATTCAACCTAAATACTGCAGACAGAAAACCACATTCCGCTCCAATACTCACACAGGAGGTTGCTGAGGTTCACCAGGGAAATATAGTCTTTCAACTTTAACAGGCTAAAAAACAAAATTTAAAGATGTAGTACCAAGAAAGAGATGGATCAGTTTTCTACTTCACAAAGCTAAAATCTTAAACGACAGGTGTGACATACCTTTTTACTTGATTTTTGAGATTTGGCTTCATTAGATTTTTTTCCATTATTAACTACAACTTCATCTTTTGATTTCTTCTTTGTTTGTGTTTTCATCAGCTCCTCTTGTCTTTCTTCTTCAGGCAGTGACTCAAGGTAAGTGGCATAATTTAATTTGTATTGCTCTTGTTCCTAAACGTTAATGCAAAAATAAATTATAAAAATGTCCTACAGACATTGATATTACAGTTTTCAAAGCTCATGTGGTGTTTCCCTTACATATTTCACCCTCTTTGCATATTCCTCTCTTCCTGCATCTGTCATAGCATGCCACTTAATTGAAATTTCTCTCATTCTCTCTTTAGGTAATAACTGTCTTAATTTTTCACATTTACCAAGCATTATTCTTGAATAAAGGGAGTATCCAGAATTAGGTGGCCTCTGTGGTTTGCCTGAGAGCCTGTAATTTTAAAATAGCTACATGTAAACCAATGTTAAGTTGTACCCAGATATCTGGGTAAAAATTATGAAAATTAAGGGACACTCCTACTATTATCAAACACAAAGTAAGAGCTGAGGAATAACATGGGTTGATTTACCTTTGTTTGAGTTTTACTTCTTCTTTTTTTAAAACTGGTTTATATGTTGGTGGTTCAAAACTAGGATTTTCAGCCATGATACTTTTAATAGTTTCCTGAAAATATAAGATAGACAGATAAAACATGCTCCATACCAAATTAAATTAACTGTACAAAGAAATGGTACAGTATGCTCACTCACCAGATACTTAGCCTCCTCTTCTAAAGCCCAAGTAATCCAAACCATCTTTTTCTTTTCCGAGAGGTTTTTCCACTGCTCTTTCGCGTTAAGTGTAACTTGATTTTTGTCAAAATGAGGTTCATCTTTCTTTTTCTCAAGTCTATCATCTATAAACATCTGCAATAATATGAAATTTATTGGTCAGTTTACTGCTAAGGGCAGACAGGAAATCCTGAATCATGAACATGAACATTACCTGTTGTGGAGTTCTTGGTTTCTTCATACCGCCTGGAAGCCCTGTACGGGCAAGAGGTTTTCTCATAGGTTTTTCAATTTCTTTGTACTCAGGATGTTTTTCGCTAAAATAATGGTTACAAAAACTTGATCAGATTATCACATTACGACAAAATATTAATTGGACTGAAAAAAAGAAAACTGCTTACTAGAAAATTTTTAACTTTTCCTCATAGTCTTCACGTAGGGCAGCCGCTTTGGCAGCATATGCCTCTTTCTTCTCATCAGAAAGGGACGCATACATTCGAGAAATTATCTGTGACACCCTCATCTATAAAAGGCAAGCGATTATTAATTATTTAACTTCAAAATTAAGGGTCAAGGTAAAAAATCCAGGCACTGTTCAGCTTGACAACACTCACCAAGTTGAGATTTGGGTGTTGAGCAGCAACTTTATCCTTCTTTTCCATATAATATACCATAAATTGAGTAAGAGGACGACGAGGCATGTCTGGATGTAAATTCTGTCACCAGAAATAAAGGATAAATTAAAGAGCACTCATCAGAACCCATTAGAACTAAATGTTTGCAAGTACACACCTGCTTGCTGTAGAAATTAGTCCATGGTTTTCGGGCCCATTCTCGTGCATCACCAAGGACCTCCCTAAGCAATCGAAACTTCCGAATTTTCTTTGAAATTTCAGTCCACGTTTTCTTGCAGTCACCAGGTTGATAGTTGTTGAAAGCAATCTAGATCCACAAAAAGAGAGTTAGTTGTACTAAAAAAATTGTAATGCAGAAAATTGAAGCACTTGATGGTCTACTACCTCGTCCCAGTCCAAGCGATCTGCACGGGTGGGGAAGCTAAGTGCATCATTGTTTGGGATGTGATTTTCCATTCTATTGAATAGCTCCAACAAATCAGCTTGTGGCCACTCTGTTCCCCCTGTTGCTTCTTCTCTCATGTCCAAGTCGGAGGGGACTTCATCATCCAAATCCTCTTCCTCATATTCTTCCTCCTCCTCCTCTTCCTCTTCTTCTTCATCTTCAGATATAACATCTTTAACTTTAACAACATATTCTGTAAAGGATCAGTATTTATTAAAATATAGTTCAAGTGGTAAAAGTTGTAAATAGTATGTGTTAAAAGGCCATTGGAAAACTACCTTTTTTCTTATGTGATCTCTTTCCTGGTGATTCCTCTACTTTTTCATCCTTCCGCTTTTTCTTAGGCTCCTCATCCACAATGTTTGTTGCATTTCTTTTCTTCAGAACCATTTTGAATATAAATCAGTGACTGCAAATGAAATTAAAAATATGACTACAAAGATGAAGCAGAACTTGTTTACAAATGGAACATGAAACAAACTGGTGATCTACTAAAACTTCGACAAAACCCCTTATTACTGCACTTATTATTGCAAACATTGATCATTAGAGTATAAGTGCCATAAAAAAAAAGGGATACTTTAAAGGGCGATGTTTTGCCATGATATCAAAACAGCAAGCTTTGATCATTGAAGTACAGGATTTGCGATGATCTCAATTTTACAATTTATCACACTTGAAGAATGTTATGAAACTGCTCCATACACAAGACTGCTCATCACTTCAGAAAATGTTATCTTGAGTTCATGAAATCATCTTTATAGAGGATACAAAATAAAAAGTTTAGTAGCTACTGAAAAGAGTTACTATAACCATGAGTGCAAACAAAAATTGATCAAAAAACACTGTAAAACGGCACACCACCGTTGTGTGTGCAATCAGAAAGTCATACAAAGAAACAAATTTAGTATTTATTCTTTCGTTTGATAATTATAGAGCTTACAATACTTATAGACCATAGTTTTCATTCACGGTAAACGCGGGGATCGGGTGGCGGTCGCAGGCTTGCCGATCGCCGAGGGCTGCAGCAAGATTTTGCCGTAAAATCTCGAATTAATATTTGGAAATTATGAGATATATTTACCTTTTCATACACTGATCATCACACGAGACGAATGTCACAATGAGGAACTTCAATTTTACACCTCAATGGCAGCGGCGACTGCAAGTCCTGTTGAGAAAATCACAAAAACAGTTTACCGTAAAATCGTGAAAATCTTGGCGGCGTGAGGCGGTTCGGTTGCCGAGGAGCCGAGCAGCTCAGCGTCCCCGTTGGCGGCCATTTTGACAACATTACAAATCGGTGGTATATAGGGCTTGTCATGCAACAAAATGTGTTTGAAAATAAGCGATTTCCTTATAAAAATATACTTTGATAAACAATACCTTCGACTCGCGAATCGGAAGACACCACAGGTCTAGATAAACAACGTGCCCAGGTTGATGCTCCGTTTGCACCAGTTCGCACAACACGCCCACGTGAGCTTTGGTTGTTTTTCAACGTTACCAACCCACTGCGACAAATCTGATATTGGCGCGCAAAACACAGTAGTACGACAAACACTCCATTGAATAAATACAATATAATAGTTTACAGTTCAATATCTTTTTAGATTTTAGATCGCTTATTCTTGCATTTTTAATACACGAAATACGCTGTCATAGTGTGTATACATTCCGGAATAAGCGGGGGAGTTTAAACTTCACCAAGTTTTTTTTGCAATTTAGAGGCTATCATGAATACATCACGCGATCAAATATTCGTCAACAATGGCACATGTTGAGCACACTGCCAAAAAGGCACGGAAATATATTAACCTGGTCGCTGGACAAAGCATTCCCAAAGCTTAATTGTTGATGATGAATGTCCTAGATTCAAAGGGTCATTCGCATGAAAGGGCTGCCACAGCGCATGCGCTCATCCAACGGGTCAATACTCTCAAAACCATTTTCTTTATATTGTTGTTGTAATATGCAAACAAACAAGAAAACATTACATAATATCAGTTTGAAAACGCTGTAATGGTTTAAAAGAAAAGTATAGGTACTCACTTCTTGCCACGACAAAATATTTATGTACTGCGCTAAACAAAATAAGATCATATTTTCTAGATGCTGGAGGATAGAACTGATAGAACCCTAGGTGCCCTTGATACGTACATGCGGCGCAGGCGGGGCTCAGGCCCCCCAGGCTGTCCCTGCGTGCGCCGCCGACGTGGGGTGGCAACGGGACTTCCCTTCATGAGCCAGGTCCCTGTGGTCCTCTACTCACCCCCAACTCACCTTGTAAGGGCGTCCGTCTAGGGTCCACGACACCTGCAGCTGGTCGTAGAGCTGCGCCAGCTGGAGAGCCCCGCACCGCAGCTGCAGCGGCAGCGTGCGGCGCACGGCGCGGCTCGCGCGCACGGCCACGGCCCAGACGCGCAGCACGAGGCGGCCCACGCCGCCGGCCGCGCGCAGCGCCACGCAGGCCCACGAGCCGCTGTCGTCGGGGAGCGCGCCGAGCACGAGCACCGCGTCGTCCGAGACCTCCCTGCGCAGGACGAGGAAGCGGATATCGTTGGAGATACGCGCGCAACCCGGACTGACACCGCCAGGACACGCACACCCTGCCCTCCTCCGGCAGCACCCGGTCTCCGTTGGCGACCCACACGATCCGGGCTCGGGGCGCCTCGTCGCGGACGGTCTTCACGTCGCAGCGGAGACGCAGGCGCGCGCCGGGCCGGGCGCGCAGCTGGCGCGCGGGCGGGCGCTGGAGGGCCGTGCGCACGCGCTGCAGGCCGGCGGGGCTCAGCTGGCCGCACGCCCACTCGTTGCACGTGCCGTGCACGCTGGCCGCGCCCGTGCAGGGGTGGCCCAGGATGTTGGGCGCGGGCCGCGTGCACGTGCGCGAGCGCTGGCCGTGGCCGCCGCCGCACGACGCGCTGCACGACCACGACCCCCACGGCGACCACGCGCCGTGCACCGCCTCCCCCGTCAGGTCGGCGGGCACGCAGTTGGCCGCCCAGCTGACGGCGCCGCTCCCGCGAGCCGCACCCACCGAGAACAAGTAGGCCGACAGGCTGCCCGGCCAGGCGAGCAGCTCGGTGCCGTTGCGTCGCAGTACTGCCTGCACCAAGGTCCATTCACCGTCAGTGGCAATGGAGCGCCCCCGTGTCCCCCGGCGATATGGTGAAGAGTTCTGGTGGCCCTACCTTTTTGTCGTGAAGGCTGATGTCAAAATAGGTCCACCTCTTGTCGACCAGCACGGGGGCGCCAGCCAGGTCGACGCGCTTCAGGGTGTCGTTGCCTCTGGACAGGGAGACGGCGTTGCGCTCCAGGCGGAACACGTGCGGGGGGTCCTCGGGGAGGCTGTACAGCGCCACCAGCGCCACGCCCGACCCTTGCATTGCCAGCTGCAGTCCCGCGCGCCCATCGTGCTTCAGTCGCCAGACGTTGAAGGGGAAGAGGCTAGAGAAGTCGTCCGAGTCTACGCGCTGGATCGGGCAGTCGGTGTTGGGGCAGTCCAGGTGCAGGCCGATGGCGTGGCGCTGCACCGAGTGGTAGCGTAGCGCTGTCGGCGTGAAGCTCTCGCCCTGCTTGTAGGGCCAGTCGAAAATGGGGGTCTCCACCTGCACCAAAGTCAAAAGACCTTAAAAACCTCTGACACGATCTCCGCAGGGTAGCACACTGATCCCTGACTATTTTGCAGTTATGCTGTACCACACCACATGCACGCGCGTGGGCGGGTTGCCTACTCGCTTGAGACCACACAGTAGGGATAGCTACCTCCATTTAGGCGGATGCGGTACGGGAGGTCCACAAAATAGACAGGGATCCTGAGGAGTGCCCTTAACTTCCCACTTGTGCAGCCGCGAGACTCACCCCCTGCTGCCCCAAGAGCACTCTGCCGAGTCCGAACCTCAGCCAGAGCGACGCCCACTGCCCGGCGGAGATAACGTGCGGGACGGTCTTGGAGTTGAGCAGCTCCTCGCGGCCCGAGTCCACGAAGGAGAAGGTGATCTTCTCGTTCTTCGCCGCCCCGATGGCCAGGCGGTGGAAGCCGCCCTTCTCGTCGTCCGCGGAGGGGCGGAGATCGAACACGATCCCATCCGACATCTCAGGGTTCCACTCCTGCTCGCCGCAGTCCCAACAGTCGCGAACGGGGGGCGCGATCAGGCACCCGTATGGAACACTGTGGCTGTAAGACAGAGTTTTCTGGTCTCATCGGCGAGCCAGGGAAAAGACGGTCACGCGCCGGTT